ATTCCTCCAGTTTCATACTCAAGTAAGGAAAGTCTAACTAGCGGCGTAGCAGGACATGGTAGCCGTTGGGGCAAGGTAAAGGCTATGAGACATCAATCCAGACAGCTTGGCCGAAGGGTCAGACACACGACAACGACTAGAATTTTTCTCTGAGTTAGAATATTCGGAACCTTACATCCAACCCAGCATCCAAAAAGCAAGATCACGGACAAGGGAGTGGATATGAGCGAGGGCTTAAAAGCGCCTGGTTCTATTCATAACAGGCAACGGGGGGTTGGTGTGGCCGCTTCGGGCCATCGAACTGAGTTTAAATTGCAAAGCTAAAGGAAGATTTCTCGTCACTATGGTTGAGGCCACTTAAAGATCGATTTTGTAAGAACTGCCAATTCAAGCTCGATCCTTACGTGACCAATTGGCATTTAGTTGTCCTAGACCTGGTTGGCTTTGTCTGGCCGGCACCCTTATTTTCTATTGGTGACAAAACCCGGCACATGAACCCGGGTAACCCAGAGAATTTTTTCAAGATATCGAGCCAACGACAGAGATTCCTATTTACTTGAATTCACTACTTACCACTCCGTGGGTTACATCGAGCCTTATATTGCGATATTAATAGATAGAAGATATGAATCGAATCGAAAGGAATGAAATAGAAGAAAAGAAAAGAGGGAACGATTGATCTCTCTTTTTTGAGGGACCATAGGCCTTAGGCTTAGTCCTAGAAGGTTGAATGCTTTCGCTACGCCCCGCATAATGAAACCTATGTCTTAGAATTAGGAATTAGCTTATATAAGCAATTATCAGATCCTTCCTCTATCTCATAGTCAAGTACGGAGTAGGAATCAATAACAATTGAATAATACATAATTCTTGCTGCATGCATGTTCACCTAAAGCATTTCTTACCACTTAAGTGAACGAGGGGGATATCAGTATTTTGACTGACGGCTATTGTCTAATTATTGAAATAGAAACACTCCCTTCCAAATGCTATTGCCATTCTCCATTCCGGTCTGTAGCAACGTACTTAGCGCACTAGTTCAATTTATTTATTCACTCTTCTGTATCTAGCATTGATAAATCAAACAAACTATGACAAATTAAAGGAGAGGGAGGGCACTCTAACCTGGCTATATTTTCACAGCATCATGGATTTTCGTTATGGGGTTCCACCCCGGGAGAGATTTTCAGCATCAGCGATCATCGTGGGAATACATCTAAGTAGATTAGGCAGCACCGAAGAAACTCTTCAATTGAGCTTTAGTTCGTACTTCCCATCCTTCCGGGTACTTCAAAAGTATGTTCATTGGTAAGGACTGGAGTGGAGCTAAAGGATTGCTTGAAAGCAGGAAGCCCAAGTGGAACGGCCTACAGAATCAGAATCAAAGTAGACCCGAAGGCCTGACCTTTGGCTCTTTCTGTTCTATCGAGACTTTCACTTCCTCGAAAAACACTAGCAATTGATCGGATTCACTGTCCCTGGGTATATCTTCTACTGAGACAAAAGCGGATTCAATAGCTGCCTATTCATGCCATCAATCCTCTTAGAGGACGTCTGCATCCAACTATAGGGGCTAGCAAATATGTTCCTTGCCATTAATTCAATATCCTTACCACGCTTAGAATAAAATACAAAGAAAGATAGAAGGCGTAGTCAGTCTAACGCATTCGAGAGCATCTAGAGCAGCTTATTCGAGAACAAAAGAACCTAGTGGGGTATATTCTGCCAAAAAGACGGGCTTTCCATAAACACGGGAAAATTGGCATAAAGGCATCCAAGCTGTGAACAATAGTAAAAGCCGCAACTCGTCTGCTATTCCGATCTTCCTTGTAGAGTACGAACTCTGGGGAGATAGCGATAGGCATTTATGTTAGATGGGGACTTGGGTACTTATTCGGAGGAAAATTCAATGACATCGTAAAGAATGGTACCGAGCCTTGATTTCGGCTTAGATGATCAGGTGCTTTCAGGCTGGCTTCACGAGACTTATTATAAAAAAAAAGAGGTGGGAGTTTATCCAATCACAGATCGGGTAGGTACGGTACTACAAGACCCGGCCGAGGGAACGGATGAATAGGTATTCGCTAGGCCAGATCGCCTTAGGATTGATATTGCTTTCAGAAGGGATTGATCCCTATTCGATAGTTCCCCCTCGGAATCCCGGACTTCAATTTCTTCCTCTGGGGCTTATCGACTTTTGTGACGAGGACGGGTTCAATCCCCCTACACCCCCTCTTGCTCTCCCCTTCGTCTTTTTCAGCAACAACCACGTGGCAGATTGCCATAGCACCTTGGGGACCCTTGGTCTGGCCCTGGGCCGTGGTATTTGAAGAAAGGACGGCAGGGCCAGCACATGTCTGGCCATAGCTACTGTTCTTCCTTATCTTGACTCATGGCGTCTTCATCAGTGAGTAAATCCTCATCATCTTCCTCCGTAAGAGAAAAGGCAAGGACTAAAAGAGAAAAGCGGCAAGGGGTCTTGTCTGGTATAGAACCAGAACAAGGGCGGAGGGAGTTCCAGTAACGGGAACTTTCTTTCCTGGTTGTAGGGTATATAAACCGGGTAGCTGGCTGAGTAGTTTCAATCTAGCAGGCTAGCTGCCTGTGCCGCCCCTAAATCTTGGACATTTTGGCGCAGGTTGGAGCCCCTTTATTTCCGATCCTTTCTTGCCCATTTATATAGAAGCTGAGGAGGTTCTTGGACTAGTTTCTCATGTATATAAATAAGAAGGAGCCTTGGCCGGAGTCTTCTCCTGATCTACGACCCGCGGATCTCAACGGATTGGCCAATTGGATATAGATCAATCGCACGAAACCCTGCTAGCGCATTTCTTTGGCTTCCTGTCTTGCCTTGGAGCAACCCCCTTGAGTTCGTGATTCCGGATCTACGCCGGCTCTATTTCCTGATGTTTACTCTAAAGGTTCAAGCAGGAGGAGACTAGCCAGCGAAGTGCTCCTGCCCGGAGTACGAGTGCAGCTAGCTTCATTACTGAAACCTGGGTCGATGATTGGCGCGCACCGAATTGCAAGCAACCTCGTCCAATATGACATCCTGCCTGAAGCTCTCGTAGAGGCAGCCTGTGTTCAAAGCAAATCCAAGCGCTGTGAGATAAGTAGAGAGGGGCGGGAGCTGATTCCGGAGTAGCAGTAAACCTCATAACCTGCCTTACACAGGATGGGAAGAAGCTCATAGTACTAGTTTATTTTATATTCAATAATTGACTAATTGTAAGCATAATATTAATCTATATTTTCTAATTCGATCTAATAGAATACTTAGAAAAAATAAATAAGCGGGTAGCGGGAATCGAACCCGCATCGTTAGCTTGGAAGGCTAGGGGTTATAGTCGACGTCGATTCAGCGCTTTGAACGTCTCTAATGCAAAACCGAACATGAAACTTTTGTTTCATTCGGCTCCTTTATCGAAGATGAAAAAATTCTTACATATAAGATGTGAACAAAATTATACCCATAACCTTTTTCTTGTCTGAATATTATTCAATTCAGTCGCTAAGCCCAGCCCAAAGCGTAGGTCCTTGGAATGCCTTGTCGGTGAATCCCTATTGTATCGAAAACCGGATCCTTGCTTAGCATTAACTAACTCCGAATCTCCTTAGTGGTCTGTCTTCGGCTAGTCCTAAAGCGTATCCGACTCTCTGGTTAGTCTGCTTACCTAATCCCTTGCTCTGGTTGGCTGCCTTTGCGTTCGTTCTACTTGCTCGATTCCCATCAAGAAGTCATTGCCCGCCTACCTATCTGACTGTCTTACTTAAGCGCCCTTTGTTCAGGAGCTGCCCTTTGTTTGAGGATCTATAAGAAGGGCAGTAACGAGAACGAAGCTAAACCCCTTCGGCTTGTCCCATTGTTCTGGGATCTGAAGCAACAACTATAGATCTAGCAGCTGGGGAATGATAGTTCCAGCGGTTTGGTTTAGGAATACCTTGCCCTTTTCGGTATAATAGGTAGGGCTTCGATAGTAGCTCTAGCCTCATTTCTAGATCCGGGATCATCTGGGTCATACGTTCCATTTCTGGTTTCCTCCCAAGCTACGACTTAGGAATCTTCTGTAGCTCAGACTCAGAATCACTCTTGACTCTAATTCCGTAGGTTGTTTAGTCAGTTAGCAGTTTCGGACAACAACGGTAAACTCTCACAAGCAAGAGGGTTTGCGGCCAAGGGAAGGGTCGATGTAATTGAGGATGCTTGACCTGTAGAATAGAAGAGGAAAGCCCTCAGTCTTTTCTTAGTAGCGCGGATGAGGCTCGATGTAATTGACCTAAAGGCACCCTCTCTTGTAGAAGCATGGAATGAATGTTCATGGGATGAAGAAGAAGAATATGAAAAACTTCTGAACTTTTATTTAGGTCTCCTTTCTTCGCCGCGTAGATAGATTCTCTAATGTTGAGAAAGCGGTTCAACTATAAAGAAAGAACTGATTCACTACATTCGGATTATGCGAATAGAATGCCTCTTTCCTTTTCGGGTGTGAGATGACATGTATATATACGAAGCTAACATACGAAGACTTCCCCCCAACCCGGAAGTCACTACCAAGTCAGTGTCAGCAGTTAACACGTGACGTACTTCGGCGTCACCTATGGTGTTAGAACTCGTTCCAAGGCTCGATGTAATTGACCTAAGGAGCGAAACAACTGGCAAGGACAGAAAAGCGACCGACTGCTTCATTGCCTTACACCTTGCCTTAACAGTAGCATCTCGTTCAAAAAGAGGTGTTTTGGATCGATTCAATTGACGACCTTTGGTCAATGTAATCTTTAGAAGCGAAGTGAAGTCAAAGAGGTAACAAAGGAAAAAGGGAATTGTGAAGCTATGAAAGGGGCTCCTTTGGTGACCGTTAGCCCCTCGGGCACCGGCTCATCTTCCACCCCCCCCGGGGACAAGGACACTCAAAATCCGGAGGCCTCACTTCCGGAAGACGACGACGCTTCTTTCCAAGTGGTTGGGAAGCATAGCAAGAGAGACAAACGGAGTAGCTCCGTGAGCCATACTAGCTCACATTTGGGACAACCAACAAAGCCTAGAGACAAACCGAATGTGAGGAAAGAGCCGGGCAAGGGAACTCATTTGAAGAAGGGGGGCAACCCTTCCTCTTCACAATGATTATCGCCTCTTGGAATGGACAAGCCTAAACCTAAAGCAAGATGAGGTTGCTAACCTCATCCGGAAGAATAATATAGATGGGACTCTTGGAAACGAAAACCGACAATAGGCGTCTTTCCCTCTTTGTGAATAGAAGGTTGCCGGGTTGGTCTTTTTGTGACAACTTCGAGGTAAACGATCGTGGGCGCATCGCCATTCTTTGGAACCCTACGAGAGTCGACCAACTAGAAGATAGGAGATATCTTGCCACAAGTCATTTTTGCTACGGTCCATTGTAAGGTTAGTAACCACTCCTTTGTTGCTAGCTTTATTTATGGACTCCATTCGCGAGGGGATCGGAAATTGCTATGGCATTCGCTCAAAGCCTCTCATGGGAGGATTACTCTACCTTGGTTGCTTCTTGGGGACTTTAATGCTATCCTCAAGCCGGAGGAGAGAATTAACGGGGAGAGAGTCACTAGTCGGGACACAATGGATCTTATTGATGTATGTGTTACCTTGGGGCTGTCGGATATACCTTCGAGTGGTTTCTTTCACACTTGGACCTTAAATCATGTTTGGTCTAAGCTTGATAGAGCTATGGTGGATTCAAATTGGGAGAATGCCGACTTCTTTTCGCATGCAAATTTTCTAGCCCCGGTCCGATCACTCCCCTTGTATCGTGACTATCTTTGAGGCTAGGAGCACTAGTGGGACCCCTTGGCCTTTCTTTAATATGTGGACGGAGCATGAGAATTTTTTGCCATGTGTCCAAGATACTTGGAACCAAGGAGAAGTGGGAACGAGGCCGACTTAGCTCAAAGTTGAAGAACCTAAAGAGCAAGCTTAAGGCACTTAATGAGGAATCCTTCTCACTCCTCTCGGGCCAAAGCTCAATTACATCGACCCTGGAGTGCCCTCTTTTGCGCTTTCGGCCGATCGAAAAAGGGCAGTTTGAGCGAACGGTGTTATTATCCTTTCCCGCTACTACTCCTACTTCTATTCTTATATCACAATCTCTCTCTCTTCCATTCGAAATTCCACAAAGCTCAATCCCAATTGTCTCACGAAAGACCATATCAAAAGACATGAACGAAGGAGAGTTTGTCGATGCTACTCATGATGATGGAGGCAGATATCGATTTGTCTGAAGCGGGTCGCAATAAGTCGCTGGTCTTAGTATGGCACTCGCGGTATCAGAGGCTCCTAGCTACTGATGTTAGCATCGCTCTCTTCGGTTAAGGCTATGATGATAGTTCGGATCGGCTTCCTTGCGTACGGAATACGGAATGGACTCCTTCG